GGTGTTGGGCGGAGCTTCGGGGGCGGGGCCCGGGGTGCTGAGATTGGCCGCGTAGGGATGGGGGCTGGGGTTGCTGGATCCGGCCGCGGAGGGGCAGGGCTGTAAAGGGCCACTGGTTTCTTAGAGCGCCCCGGAGCGGGTGGAACCGGGACTGCAGAGGTTGTTAGCGGGTGGGGAGACGGCTGCATCAGTTCACGTTGAGGAGGATCTCTGGAGAGCCTGGGGAACCCAGAGGCCAGCGCCTTGGGAAATGGAGTCCAAGCGGGCATCTCTCGTGCCTTCAGGTGGAGCTGGAGGAGACAGTGGTGCGGCGCCAGGCTGCTGTGCGGACTCTGGGCCAGGAAGCCAGGGTTTGGTTGGTGCGGGTGCTGCTCAACCTGCTGGTGATCGCACTCCTTGGGGGAGCCTTCTATGGCGTCTACTGGGCTACAGAGAGCATCGTGGCGCTGCAGGTGCGGAGGGTCTTGGAAGAGGAAGCCGGGGGGTCCTGAAACCTACATTTCCAACGATGGAGGGAGGGAACGGAAGTTTGGGATACCAGAGATCTTACAGAGGAAGTATGGGAGAGGGTATGTTTGGACCCTGGACTTCGGGGTTTTAAAGGAAGAAGAGAGACTGGGCGCGGTGGCTCACGCCTGTAATCCCAGGACTTTGCGAGGCTGAGGTGGGGTGATCACAAGGTCAGGAGTTTGAGACCAGCCTGACCAACATGGCGAAAATCCGTCTCTACTAAAAATACAAAAATTAGACGGGCGTGGTGGTGCACGCCTGTAATCCCAGCTACTCAGGAGGCTGAGGCAGAAGAATCACTTGAACCCGGGAGGCGGAGGTTGCAGTGAGCCAAGATTGCACCACTGCACTCCAGCCTGGGTGACAGAGCCAGACTCTGTCTCAAAACAAACAAAGAAACAAACAAAACAAAAACAAACAAACAACAAAGAAGAGGTCTGGGGGAGGACCTTAAGCTTAGCTCCTCCAGGACCCCAAGCCTCTATTCATGGTCCACTCCCTCTCCCAGAAGAGGTCCCTTGTTCAGCAGTTGCCACTGCTGAAGCTTGGGGTGAATTACCTTCCGTCCATCTTCATCGCTGTGGTCAACTTTGTGCTGCCGCCCGTGTTCAAGCTCATTGCTCCACTGGAAGGCTACACTAGAAGTCGCCAGATCGTTTTTATCCTGCTCAGGTTCCAGCCTCATGGGGATGGCTGGGAATGATGGAGGGTCGGGGCGGTCAGAGGGATGTTGGCGCTGACAGGTAAGACACGGAAATCCTGCTGATATCGGATCCAGGGATTCAAATCCTGACTCCGCTGGCCAGGCGCGGTGGCTCACACCTGTAATCCCAGCACTTTGAGAGGCCGAGGCTGAGGTCAGGAGTTCGACACCAGCCTGACAAACATGGTGAAACCCTGTCTCTAGTAAAAATACAAAAGTTAGCCCGGCATAGTGGCTTCTGTAGTCCCAGCTACTCGGGAGGCTGAGGCAGGAGAATCACTTGAGCCTGGGAGGTAGAGGGTGCAGTGAGCTGAGATCGCGCCACTGCACTCCAGTCTGTGCGACAAGTGAGACCCTGTCTCAAAAAGAAAAGAAAAGAAAAGAAAGAAAGAAAGAAAGAAATCCTGACTCTGTCGCTGGGCCGCTGCTTCTTCATCTGTGAGATGGGTTGAATGCGAGCGCGTTCCACTGAGAAGGGGACTGCCACGTGGTGGGTACCGGATCAGGGCCCATTCTCTGCCTTCCCCCCGCCAGGACCGTGTTTCTTCGCCTGGCCTCCCTGGTGGTCCTGCTTTTCTCTCTCTGGAAACAGATCACTTGTGGGGGTGACTCCGAGGCTAAGGACTGCAAAACCTGTGGCTACAATTACAAAGAACTTCCGGTGAGAACGGCATGGGGTCTGCCTGGGACTCCTGGGTCCCTGAAGGAAAGATGGAGCTAGGTGGGTCCAGACTCGGTTTGGGCGGAGAGGGGAGCTCGGGATGCTGGAACACTCTCCCATGGGTATGAATGTTTGAAAAACGAGGACCCCCAGAGAAAGTATTGACAGGGTCTCATAGGCTTGCGATGTGGAGACTCGGACGCGTGGGCCTCCAGGTGCTCGGGTCCTGAGGTCTTTCTGACCTATTTCTTCCTTCTTCAGTGCTGGGAGACTGTCCTGGGCCAGGAAATGTACAAACTTCTGCTCTTTGATCTGCTGACTGCCTTGGCAGTCGCGCTGCTCATCCAGTTTCCTAGAAAGTGAGAGCCCCGCCCCTCGCTGTGGCCCCGCCCCTCTAGGACCAGGCCCTGCCCCATCGCGCTGTTCTTTTCACCGCGCACCTTTTTACTGTTCCCGCCTCTGCCGGCTCCCTTTGCTTGCCCTAGGTCCGCAGATCTCCCCCACTCCCCGCCCTTGTTTTAGTGGGTTACTTCCCTGTGGCCCCGCCCCTACCGCCGCGACACCTGGGTC